CTTACCGCAAAATTACATAAACTAGTAAGATCACTATTTAACAGCACAAAGTACTAGCTCTACAAAGAAACACTAGAAACTGCAGACATCTATCTATTCCTATATAGTCCCCTTATTAAAGCAATCACATATAACTAATGATTGCCTGAAAACCCAGGAGAATCCCAGGGGCAGCTAGGTGGCACAGTGGATAGAGCCCAGGGGTCAAAAAGACCTCAGTTTCAAATTCGGCCTCAGACACATAACATTCACTAGCTGTGTGACTTTGGCCAAGTCACTTAACCCCACGGCCTAGCAAAAAAAACCAAAACAAAACAAAACAAAACAAAAGAACACCCAGGGGAATCCCAAAAGAGAGCTAATAGTCTGGTACTGTAGTTCTCAAAGTGTGTTCCAAAGTCCCATAAGGGTCCCCAGGACCCTTTTAGGGGGCCTTTGACATCAAAACCACTTTCATAATAATATTAAGATGTTATTTGCCCAATAAAATACTCCTCCCTTTTCTAACCACATATCTGTGTGAGGCCAAATCTTCTTTATATACTTCAATCAACATGACATATCCCAACAGCTTTCTTCCATTAAGCCGGACATTTAAATAGATTTTTAAAAAAGTAAACCAAAATGTCTTTCACTAATTTTTTTAGTAAATATAGTTATTTTTCACAAAATATTATTTGTTAACATTTAATGGATTTACTGTTACATGAGTTAATATTTTAAAATTTTATCAGTTTTAATTTACAACATGGTAAATATCAATAATATACAGAAAGCTAGTGATTTTATGGGTTAATTTTGTAACCTGTAATTTTGCTGAAGTTGTTGTTTCCATTAGTTTTTTAGTTGACTGTTTAGGGTTCTCTAAGTAAACCATTATATCATCTGCAAAAAGGGATATTTTATTTCCTTATTTGCCTTTGTTTATTCCTTCAATTTCTTTTTCTTGTCTTATTACCATAGCTAGAATTTCTAGTATATTATTAACAGCACAAAGTACTAGCTCTATAAACACCAGAAACTGCAGACATCTATCTACTACTATATAGCACCCTTATTAAAGCAATCACACATAACCAGTGGTTGAATTATTGAATAGTAAGGGTAATAATGGACATTCATGCTTCACCTCTGTTATTAGAAAGACTTCTAGCTTATTCCCATTAGGGATAATGTTTGCTTTTGGTTTCGATAGACACTACTTGTTATTTTAAGGAAAGTTCTTTTTATTCCTGTGTTTTCTAGTGTTTGTAATAGGAATAGCTTTCCTATTTTGTCAAAAACTTTTTCTGCATCTACTGAAATAATCATATTATTTTTGTTTTTGTTAATATGGTCAATTATGCTTGTAGTTTTCCTACTACTGAACTAGCCCTGAATTGCTGGTCTAAATCCAACCTGGTCATAGTGTATAATCTTTGTGATATATATTACAAGAAGATTGTAATCTTCTTGCTAGTATTTTATTTAAAATTTTTGCATCAATTCATTCATTAGGGAAATTGGTCTATAGTTTTCTTTCTGTTTTGATTTCCAGGTTCAAGTATCAAGACCCTATTTGTGTCATAGAAGGAATTTTATAGGACCACATTGCCTATTTTTTCAAAGAGTTTATAGAGTATTGGAATTATTTTTTAAATGCTTGGTAGAATTTGCTGTAAATCCATCTGGTTCTGAAATTTTTTTCTTAAAGAGTTCACTTATGGCTTTTTCAATTTCTTTCTCTAAGATAAGTGTATGGGTTTTGTTTTCTTGTGTTTTTAATTCTCATTTGGGGTGGGAAGATGAAAAGATAGATAATGGCCAATTAAGATAAATAAAATATTTAAATTCACAATACAGTTATGTAGTACTTTATTCTCTGTTCTGTCAATCTAGACACCTTATATTTTTGCAAATACTCACCCATTTCATTTAGATTGTCAGCTTTATTAGCGTGTAGTTAGGCATAATATTTCCTAGCAATTGCTTTTTATTTCCTCTTCATTGGTTGTGACTGTATCTTTTTCATTTTTGATACTGGTAATTTGGTTTTCTTTTTTTATATCAAATCAGTAAATAATGTGTCTATTTCATTGTTTTTTTTAAAACAGCTCCTATTTTTATCTATTAATTCAATGCAATTTTTTTTTTAACTTTCAATTTTGTTAAATCTCTCCTTTGATTTTTTTATGGCTTCTATTTTGGTATTTAATTAGGGGTTTTAATGTTGTTTTTCTAGTTTTTTAGTTGCATATCCAATTCACTGAACTGCTCTCTTTTTTGTGGTTGTAAGCATTTAGAGATATAAATTTTCCCCTAAGTACTGCTTTGGTTGCATCTCACAAATTTTAGTATGTTGTCTCATTATGGTCATCTTTAATGAAGTTATGGATTGTTTCTATGATGATCCATCCATTCTTCAGGATTAAGTTATTTCGTTTCCAATTCATTTTTAATTTATGCTTCAAAGATCCTTTACTGAATGTAATTTTTATTGCATTATGGTCAGGAAAAGATACACATTTAATTTTTCTGCATTTGTTTGTGAGGTTTTTAATGTCCTAATACATGATCAATTTTTGTGAAGGTGCTATGCATAGCAGCAAAATAGGTATATTCCTTTCTATTCCCATTCAACATTCTCCAGAGGTCTATTATATCTAACTTTTAAAAATCTTATTTATCTCCTTAACGTCTTTCTTGTTTATTTTATGGTTAGATTCATCTAGATCTAAGAGGGATGAATTGAGGTCTTCTACTATTATAGTTTTACTATTTCTTCCTCTAACTCATTTAACTTTTCCTTTAATAATTTAGACGCTATGCAGTTTGGTACATATATGTTCAGTACTGATATTAGTTCATTGTCTTTACCTTTTAGTAAAATGTAGTTTTCCTATTTAGCTCTATTAATTAGGCCTATTTTTGCTTTTGCTTTGTCTAAGATCATGACTGCCACCCCTGCCTTTTTTACTTCAGCTGAAGCATAATAGATGCTGCTCCCGACCCTTATTTTAACTCTGTGTGTATCTTTTTTTTCAGGTGTGTTACTTGTAAACAACATACTGCTGGATTCTGGTTTCTAATCTATTGTTACCTATTCTGTTTTATGAGGGAGTTCATCCCATTCACATTCAGTTATGATTGCTAACTGTGTTATTTCTCTTCATGCTATTCTTTTATGCTTTTCTTTTTTACCCAGTCCTTTCTTTAACTCTGGGAGGTTTTTCCTCACTTAATCTATCCTCCCTCTTATTCCACCACACTACTCCCCTTCCCACTCCCTCCCCACTTCTCTTAACTCCTTTCTTTCCCTCCTACTTCCCTGTTGGGTAACAAGAGTTTCTGTGCCCAGCTGTGTATGTATAGTCTTCCCTCCTTGAACCAGTTCAAATGAGGATTCAAGTGTTGCAAATTTTCCCTCATTTCCCCCTCCACTAATACAGTAATAAATATCTATAGATGTAACTCTCACAAACAAAAGCCCTTTGAGGTACTCAACTTTTAAGAATGTAAAAAAAGTTTAAAAACTGTTGGAGTAGGGGCAGCTAGGTGGTGCAGTATATAGAGTGCGGGCCCTGAAGTCAGGAGGACCTGAGTTCAAATCCAGCCTCAGACCAAACACTTGATACTTACTAGCCGTGTGACCTTGGGGCAAGTCACTTAACCCCAACTGCCTCACCAAAAAGCAAAAAAAACAAACAAACAAAAAAAACTTTCACTAGCAGAAGCAAAAGCTGACAAGGGCATCACAATGAGATGGCCAGAGAAAAGTTTTGTTTTGTAGTCTCTCTCTATTGTTGCTGGTTATGTCTCCATGGAAAGAATTTCAAAGACCAAGCAATGTTAGAGCCCCTAGTATAAAAAGCACTGGGAGGTTATCCACCACACACTTTTATTTCACCTCTCCCTCCTCCCACCACTCCTCACTGTCTTAGAGGTGGTCTTGGAGGTGGCAGGGTGGGGGATAGCTCCCTTGAAAGTTCCTTCTCATTAACTACAGATGAGAATTTACAAAACTTCATCTTTCTGAATATACTCATTTGGCTTACCAATTTTCACATCCTGCCATAAGCTAATTTTTAAACATTCAGGATGAGGGGCAGCTATATGGAACAGCAGATAGAACAATGAACCTGGAGTCTGGAAGATCTAAGTTCAAATCCTGCCTCTGACACACACTAGCTGTGTGACCCTAGGCAAGTGACTTATGTTTTATCATGACTTCACATGTTTAACCAATATATTGCTTACCTTCTCAAGGGGTGTGGGAGGAGGGGGAGGGAATTTGGAACTCATTTTCAAAAATGAATGTTAAAAATGTTTTTACATATAATTGGGAATTATTTAAAGAAATAAATTTTAAAAAATTTTAAATTTAGGATCAGTATTTTTTATGAAACTCAAGATATTCAAGCTGTCCTCTCCGGGAATGAGGAATAACGTTCATAGGATCAGATTCTATAGCTGGAAGAGGCCTCAGAGGTCACCCAGCTCAACCCCCTTATCTTAAAAGATGAATAAAGTAAATCGAAGTGAATTTCTGGGATCTGCCTAAGATCCCTCAGGTGTTAAGACGGGACTCGAACCCATTTACACCCATCGCACCAAGAAGCTTAAGTGGGATGGGGGTCACCTGGACTAGATGGGACAAAAGCCCTTTCCAGTCCACTTCACTGTGGGCGTAGCCCCTGGGTCCTACAGAGGGAACTTCTGGAAGCAAAGAAACTGCGGGAGAGGGGCAGATCACACCTCTTTGAAACTCGTCCTTTTGCTAGCCTGAGTCATTTCTTTTTGAAATCATGGCGTAGTCACCGACGCCGGCTGGCCAGCCTGGGAGGATATCAGCCTGTCCGGTTAGAGCCAGGACCACACCAACTTGGTGGCCGCCCCCGTGGGCCTCTCGGGTCCACCTCTCCCCACCCCCCACACCCCGCACCCCGCACCCCATGCATGCACGCCCGGCCGCCGTGCCTGTCTCCTCGTCCTCCCCCGCGTCGCTCCAACCCCGCACTCACTCGGCCGAGCTGGTCCCGTTAATCGTGGAACCATCCGGGGTCGGGTTCAACTGAATGGGCCCCGGCTTCTTCTTGGGCATTTTGGCCCCGAGGAAAGCCCCTTCCTAAGCCGCAGGCTCGCTCCCTCTTGCAGTGGCCGCAGCTCCGCCTCAGCCTTGCGCCCTTCCAAGTTCAAGGCCGAGCCTCAGGGGTGGAAGGGGGCCGCAGCTTAGGGCTCTCAGCGGGGGCTCCCGGGTCGAGGCAGCTCCCCCAGCCCCGAGGCTGACCGGGCGCCAACGACTTGGGCGGAGGGGCGGCGACGGGGAGTTCCCTGGGGAGGGGTTCGGCGAGCCGGTGGCGGGGATTCCCTCACCCCACCCCCTCACACCCGGCCGGATTCGGTTCCGTCCGGCTCCGCAGTCGGAAGGGCTTCCCCGGCGCGGGATCCCCGGCGCTAGGGCTGGCTCGAGGGCAGTTAAGCTCCGCAGCACGGGGAGCCCAGGTCTAGAGAAGATGCCTGTCCCCTGGCTCCGGAAAAAGTGCGGCTTCTCGCGCTGTCCTCAGAGCCACACATCCGTCCGAGGGAGGGAGGGAGGGAGGGACGGACTAGGGTGGGGGGCGGGGGTGGGAGGGAAACCTTCGGGGGCTGCTGTTTCCCCCCCCTTCTTCTGGAGCTGCTGCTTCTTTTTTTTTTTTTTTTTCCTTCTCCACCCCCTACCCCCCAAGCACCGCTGCCGCTGCCTCCTCCCATCCTGATTTCGCCGACAGCCAATAAGAAGCAGCCATCCCAGGCAGATGACGCGGAAACGCGTCAGGGAGGCGGTGCACGTGGGGCCGCCGTGAAATGGACCAGGAGCTGGAAACAGCGCCCTCTGCAGCTGGCGGTGCTCTCCATGGAGCCGCAGGGAGGCTGCTTTTCCTTTTGGCTTTTAAAAGCATTCACGTTGTAAACGGTAATCCATTTCTTGCAGTGGGAGGCCTCAAGTTCCCGAACCGGGCTTGAGGTACCCCGCACTGCTGAGGTGACAAAGCTGGGTCTTCTCTTTATCCTTCTCTGGGACTATGGCACTGAGCCATGTTACTCTTAGGCCTGAAAGAATTAAAGTCCCCCGAGGAGAGGGAGCTCTAGCCTGTGAGGCAGGGAGACCTGAATTCCAATTCGAACCTTGCTCCTAACTTTGTGACTTCGGGAATATCACTGAACGTTTCTGGTCCTCAGTTTCTCCAAAACGAAGGTGTTGGATTAGATGACCTCTAAACCAGCCTCCCAGGTCCTAAATTTTATAGGTGATAAAATCCTAACAATCCCCTTGGACTGAAAGGAACCTTGAAAAGATATCTCTTCCCCTTTAAACCACCCCTAATTCAGCTGCTTAATCCTTAAGACTAAGGTCTAGTTGTCTTGTGCCCAAATAATACTAGTTCACATTTTATAAGCATTTTAGGATTTGCAAAATCACCATCCTCACAACAATGTAAGGGTGACAGTGCAATAATCATCCCCATTTTGCAGATCTCAGTATTATAGATTTAAAAGTAGAAAGCACCTTAGAGGCCATCTATTCCAAACCCCTCATTTTACATAACCCGGAAATAAGGCCTAGAGAAATGAATTAATATGCCAAGGTCACCTTAGATCTAGGATTTGAACCCAGGGCCTCTTGATATCAATCCAGCATTTTTTCCACTGCATCATGCCGGTGTGGGAGCTGAGAGTCAAAAACTTGCTTAGGAGGACACAGTGTACATCCAGTTTCAAACCCAGGTTTCCTGACTCCCAAGTCTAGTGCTCTCCACTATACCACATTGCTTCTCAACTCTTATCTCTATCTTGAATTGACTGACCCTATAATTTTTCTCTTTTACATTTTAGACTGGATGAAGTGCTGTGGGGTTGCCAACAAATTCAAGAGCTGGTAGTTTTAAATCGTTGAAAAAGACTGGCATAAGCAGATTCCCTTAAATGAATAAGGACTTACAGATTTTTAAAGTGGGGAAGAACCAAAGAGATCATTTAGTCCAACTCCTTAATTTTACAGATGAGGAAAGTGAAGTCTATTTATTGGTGTAATACAAAGCAATAAAGGAGGGACTCCTGATCCCTGAAGATGAACTTGTTTTGCGGCTTGTAAACTATGACAGAGCTCTTTTTGAAATTTAAAAACTGATGTTGCTGAGCATTTTAACTGGAAAAAAAAAACCACCTACATTTATTATTGTCCATAATTTAGTAGAGAATTTTAGAACCAAGAAATGTGGTTACTGAAAATGCAACTTTTGCCAGATAGAGAATTTACAGGTTATATCATTTTCACATTTTGAATCCCATATTTCTTTCCATTAACAAAGAGAGTACTCCAAATATTTTACAATTACTTCCCCTATTACTCAAGGTCCTCTCCATGGACCTAATTTCTTCAAATCAAAATATGTTTAATCTAAAGGAAAGCACTATGTAAACATGAATAAATATTACCCATCTTCTAGATTTGAGTAGGACAACAGATTTTTTTTAATAATGTGTAAAATGTTAGCATGCCAAATAGATACATTTAAAGAGTTACACTACCCACAAAGGAGAGACATCTATTTCTTCAGTTCTCAATTCTTGACATTCTCATAGCAATGAAACCACTAAGTTATTTTGGGAGTCACTTTAATTACCAGTTATACTTCATTTAAGGGAAGAGTTGCCTCAATTTTGTGATGATGATGGGATTTCAATGGGTCTCTGCAGATGTAGTCTCAAGTTAGACAGGATGTCAGATCTGGTGTCTATTTTTGGAAAGGGTGGGGGTGGAGTTAAGGAATTTGTCCTGAGAGGGTCTGGCAATAAAAATGTAAAAAGATTCATTTTTTGCCCTTGTGTAGATGCAGGCTCCAAAAAAGGCAAGAGGTTTTCAGGACAGATCAGCTTCTCAAAGGCAGTTATGGAGAAGGATGTAAAGATGTCAACTTCCTTCAGAAACTCAGCATAGAATACCATTGGTTCTCAATACTGAGCAAAGATGAAGCAGGTTTTCTTTTGCTTAGGGAATTATAACCAATTCTTTCATTGCTATTTTCAGCCTTTCTTTAACTTGGAGTATAAAACTGGTCTCTAATATTTTTCCTGTGAAGTGCATTGAAAACTATTACAAACAGGAAATAGGAATGATTTAACTTTAAAACTAGAATGGTACAGTGATCTGTTCCCTATGATAAGCAGCTTGTAGAATTGAACAGACCTGTCCTGCAGCCTGAGCTTCATTCTTTTGATCGTTCACTCTCTGCCTCATTGTCTATAAGCTTTCCCAGGAGAAGAATGTTGCCTTCATATGCCTACTATGCACAAGGTCTCTACTGTTGCTTTTAAACTTCAGTGGACAGCAATTTAACCCTCCTGCTATGGGTGTTTTGAATGGAAAGACAGGTGTCCCTTCAACTGACTTACGAAGCTCGCATGTGTGTTTTGGCATTTTGCATTTATATACAACTGCCAGATGATTTTATCCTTGAATTAGAGATCTGACAGACACCTTAGATATCTTCTAGTCCAATTCTGTCAGGTTATAGATAAAGGAACTGAGGCCCACAAAGGTGAAGTGACTTGCTCAAGATTACACCAGTAGTTAGTAATAAGAGCTGAAACTAGAACATAGGTCTTTTATCTCATCATCCAGGCCTCCTCCCATCCTGCCGAGGCTTTCAGTAAGCTAATTTAATTGATAGGTATATTTGGTTTAGTCAACTGGTAGGTGACTTTATCTGTGAATTTTTCAACTATTACTTTTATTTTTTTCACTAACATTTGAATAGCACCCTAGAGTTTTGCATAAGTTATATGTGTTATGTAATATAGCACATGATGTAGTACATCAATATATAAAATATACTATGTAATAATAAAACTTATATTTGTATAACTTTTAAAGCTTCCCAAAGTACTTCATAAACAATATCTCATTTAACCCTTATAACACCTCTGTTGTGAAGAACAGGTAGATATGAACAGAGGTTGGTACTGTTATGCCTGTTTTACATATTAGGAAACTGAAGCAAAAAAGGTAAGTGGCTTGTCCTCCATCACACAGCTGGTAAACATCAGGGGATATATCTATCTATCTATCTATCTATATATCTATCTATATATAGATATATATATAATGTATAGCTAGATAGATAGATACATATAGATATAGATATTGTTCTAGGTGTTAGGATTAAAACACAAGAACAAAACAAAAACAAAATCAGCCCCTGACTTCAAGGAGCTTGAATTATAATGGGGAGATAAAATATGTACACAATAAAAACATATAAACTAATTTGAGGAGAGAAAGAGCCCTAACAACTGATGGAATCAGGAAAGGTTTTACATAGGAAATGAGACTGAAGGTTGGCTTTATGGGAGATGCTAATTTCTGGGAACAATAGGCCATTTTTATTGGAACTCAAGTGTGTAAAGGCAGTACTATATCTCATTTGGTTTTTCAAACAAATTTGTGAATTACGTAGTACAAGTACTATCAATATCCCCATTTGACAGACTAGGAAACTAAGGCCCATAGGGGTTAAATGTGTTGCTGAAGGTCAAAAAGTTAGTTTAATGGCAAACAGAAAAGCCAAGATGCCAACTGAGATCTGTTGATTCTGAATCTACACAAAGTTGGACTCCCTGCTTCAGGTCTTTCCCCACTACATTTCATCCAAAATGATTTTGCTTAAGCACAGATCTGGCCATATCACTCCCCTACTCTCTTAATTCCAGTTGCTCCCAATTACCTGAGGATAAAAAAAAAATTCCTCTGTTTAACTTAAACCTTTTCATAATCTGGCCCCAAATTTATCTTTCATGCCTCACTGTACACAATCCCGCCTTTCATACAGCGGAACTAACTTTTTCTCTGTTTCTCACACAAGATTCTGTCTGCCTTTTTTTTTCACCTCTGTGTGAACTTTCTCCTGTGCCTGGACTCCATTTTCTCCTCCCTTTTGCCTCATAGAATTCCTCCCTTCCTTTGAAACTTAGCTCAAGCACTACCTTTTACATTCAGGCGTTTTTTAACCTGGAGTCCTTAGATTTTTTTAAAATTTTAATAAATATATCAGCATAATTAGTTTCCTTTTATGTATCATATTTTGTGCTTTTAAAAATATTATACTAGTCTGTATCAGATTACTCGCTGTCTTGGGGAGGGAGGTGGGGAGGGAGGGGGAGAAA